GACTCCATCCTGGAGTGAAATATCAGCTGTGCTGCTGCCATCAACATCTTTGTTTACAGATGTTGGAGATCGGCCTGTATTTCAGTGTAGTCCTGTTTCTCTGACCATGACTGGCTGGGTGTGCTCTCTTCATCCTCTGACATGGAAGTTGGCTCAGAGCTGTGTGTTTCCTGGACCGGGCCGCCTTTTACAGCTGCTTTTTGTATCTCTGCTTCTGTCTCCTCAGCAGATGGCCGCTCACACTGAGCCTGGTTCTGCTGGAGGTTTCTTCCTGTTATAAAAGGGAGTTTTCCTCTCCACTAAGCATGCTTAGTTTGAGGGATTGCATTCGTGGCAATGGGTCGATGCAATCAACTGGTTTTCCTTAGGTAGAAAACTGAATCAATCTGACTGGGTGCTCTGGTGAATTGTAAAGTGTCTTGAGATGACATAAGTTGTGAATTGGCGCTATAGAAATAAACAAGAGTTGAATTGAAAAGAGAGCTACTGAGGTAAATGTTGATCGCTTTCTACTAGAGTTAAAAAGTCCTATGAAGAAACTGAAACTAGGATTTAGTGGTGCAGTCTATGTTGAGTAAATCTGGTTAGGTCAGCTGGATGAAAAGCAAAGAGTCCTGGATGAGTTTTTACCTTCAGCTGGGTTCATGATGGCATCATGGAGGACAGTAGCTGCACAGCCTGCTACTCCTAGAAAACAGGAACATCAACATAACATCATTCTCTTTTCCCCTCCAGTTAACACTGTGCTAATGCCTGCCTGTATTCAGCGCCTTAAAACCCCATTTGTAATAAAACACGTTGAATCATCTCACCGTTTGCAAAGTGGCTGTTAGTGCCAGGGTGAATTGCATCACTGAGGGAAAACTTTATTTTCTCGTAGCAGGCGAAGTAAAGCGCGTGTGCAGGTCCAGCCCCCACTGCCAGTACGTTGACCCCCCTGATTGGTCGCCACACCCCCTCCGTCCGTACAATCTGCCGCAGCGCGTCCATCACGTTCCGGTAGCGGGCTCCTGGCTCAGGGTGAAGGCTCTGCATGCGAGTCTGAGGAAAAAAAAAAGAAAACATGGATTAAACAGATAGACTACTGATGGACACAGGAAGCTCTGAAACCAACTGCTTCTTAAAAATAAATAAAAAATGGATTAAATACATAAATGAATGATTAAAGAGGAGAGAATGTCTATTTTGATTGCTTCAAAAACACCTCACCTCCATTTAGACTTCAATATAATGTGAAGTTACTCCACAGCTTTAAAAGGATGTGACATCAGCATCGGGTGTCATGATGCTGCTTCACTACTATCTGGAAATAGAACCGGCTCTGGAGAAACTTTGTAGTTAAAAAATGGACAGCAGTGAGAATTTTACTTTTCCTCTTTAGCTATAAAATGCATAACTTTCTGTAAAAAGACTCATATCAGTTGGCTTGTGCTCTGAGAAGGGTGCAAGTACCCGGTTCGATTCCCAGAGCCTCTACTCTCAAAAAGGCCCTTAACCCCTGATTCATGGGCGTAGGTTTGCATAGGGACCATAGGGACATGTCCCTACCAAAATTTTTGACGGACCTATTTGTCCCTACCAATAATTGGATGTTTACAACATGTTTATAATTTACTAACAGCAGCCGCTTCTTTTCCTCTCGCAGCTTCTCTGCCTGGTAGCTGCAGCTGCCTGCTCTTTCCTGTCCCTTTCACATAGCAGCGCATCAACTGTGCTGCGCGGTTTAACTCTGATTATTCTGCCTTAAGTTCCGCATTCTCTCTTTCTGATTGCGTTTTTTCTAGTCTGTATGTGCTTGGAGCGCGAAAAAAAGACGCTGAAATAAATTAAGTTTTGGGCTACGAAACTAGTCCAAATTAAAAAAAATATTATTTACGCTAAAACAGGCGAAAGCTTCTGATTGGAGTTCTGTAAAGAAGAGGGAGAGAGTTTTATTGATCTGTGAAACTTGAGAAATGTAAGT